GTCAAAATGATAATTGATTAATAAATGGTTATATGTATTTTATCTGCTCCATAAATAATTCTAGATAACTTATCTGAATTGTTTAAATATGTAGAATCCACAAAAGCTTGTTTTTCATCAACCGGTCAAAATTTACAGCAGGGCATGCAAATTCGGTTCGTTTTTGGCCAGACAGAAACTGCACACAGGCTGAATGTAAATATAGGTCTCTGTAAATCCACTCGCTGACAGCAGGTGGCGCTTATGGAAAAGCAGAATTAGAGCTGTTTCCCGTAACCTTCGTGGTCGAAGCAGTATTGCGATTAAAAACACTTCCTTTAGGTATTACATGGAGTGAAGATGAAAACAAAATGCCTTCGAATCGTTTCTGAAGACAGTCAGAACCTTCAGAGGTATATTCATATAATTCATTCATTCATATATTCATTTTTATAATTCCCTTAGCACTCTTTTAAAACCTCCCAGCTTTTCCGCCCTGTTTTCACTCAAAACGAAACTACTCTGCATGCTGTGCGCACGTGAGACTGTCTCAAAACGAAACTATTCTGCGTGCTGTGCGCAGGTGAGACTGTTACTTAAAACTGTGCTTTATGCTGGACAGTATTTATTTATCGTGAGTTGTTCAAATCACGGTAATCTAATACGGTTTTAGTGATAATTAAAAGATGAAACGGTAATACTAACCGTGGGGAATGTTATCATGATTTATCGTCAAACCGATAATTGTTACATCCCTAGTCTTATTGCGCTTAAACTGTCAAGTTTGTTAAAAACACACATAAGTTACAAAAACACAGTCGGTTATGTGTGGGAAAGGTATCACGTCTTTATTAGATCTGTGTATTAAGTGACAGCAGTGTGTACGCTGTTAATATGACCCAAAAAAACAGAAAATCACTCTCTGCTTTGAACTGAGTAACTTCTGTAGAATTAATAAAAAGACATTTCTTACTTGAATGCTGCTTTTAAATGCTCTAATGTGAAGATAAACATGGCGGATTGTATGCGGCTCACTCAGGGCGGGGTCATTGCTAAAACGGCAGTGTCCGTCAACAGTCGTGGGTGAGGCTTGTAAAATGTGATGTCACATTTTACAGATTCTGCGAACGGCTCATTATGAGACACTGCTTATGATTAATGGGGATTAAAAAAAAGGAGCGAGTGGATTTTTATCCTTATAGGGTGGTTGTGTACACACTGCCAACACACAATTATGTTCAAACAACATGTAAAAGTGAATTTTGCATAATAGGTGCCCTTTAAACAGTTTTTTTTTTTTTAGATTAGACAGATCCTCATTGCATTGCCAACAGCCACTTGTGTTGCCAGATATCATTCATTTTTATTTAAGTGATTTGCAGATGCTTTGATGCTGAAGATCATGTGTCGTATACGTGCAGTTTAAGTCCGACATGTTCTCTCTATAATTTCCCGTCTTTTTTCTGTAATACGTCTCATTAACAGTGCCAAAAAGGCCAAAAAGTGGTAGCATTGTTACCCAATTATCTTTTCAGTACTGTGTTCCTGTGCTCGCGGTCTCATTATTTAATGTCCAGGTAACGGTTTCATGCAGCACTGCTCTTCACTAGAGCTGAATGTCCACTCATGCCCAGCAGGGCTCAGGTCAATTGCATTTAAATGCAGATGACTGCTTGTTGTGGTGAAAGTGCCCACGCATAATACATATTATTCAAATGAGCGAGGCAGCTCTATGGCCCAGTTCTGAGCTTTATGTAAAACACCAGTGTAGTGATTTCCACAAGAGACAGATGCTATAGGAAATCACAGTCTCCCATTGTTCAACTCACATAGTCAGACTCTAGATACTTTTTTTTTTTGTCTTTTGGTAGATTATGTGCTATATTTATCACTGTTATGTATTTATTTCTTTATTGAATTACATATATTTATAATTTCTTTCTAGTCATCTGCAGTGACTTAAGAATCAACTAGAGTATGACTCATATTAATAATGACTCACCCTAATAAGCACAATAAATAACACAAATATTGAGTAAAATTTAGCATTTTTACATTTATTTTTTTATCAGTGCTTGTCAGTACTGAATAAAATTATCTCAAGTTTGTTGCAATGCTTTCTGGAATAGTTGCAAGATGCTGGCAATTACAAAGTGCCATGTAAAGCAGTGCAGTTTTTTCTTAATTTCTTTTTGGAACAGCATTTGCTTAGGGAACATGCCTGTGATGTAGGTTGCCTAGATAGGGAGCTCTCTAGGGTTTGGAACAGAGCTTGAAGGCCATTGCTTACATAAATAAGGTCAAAAAGAGTGTTTCTTTGTGTACCATCCAAAAACAAACCATTTTATCTTTTACTCTATCTAGATCTGCTTCATAAAGGGGTGACGTCCATCACTAATCTAGAGGGATGGGTGGGACACCCTTTGGACCCCATTGGAACGCTCTTCAGCACGCTGATGGAAACAGGCCGCGGGGATGAAGACAGTTCGCAAGGCGGGTTTCTAGATTTCTCAGGTACAAAGATGTGAGATGCCGCAGCATGATTCATGTTATTTACAGAGTGTTTTTACGAACTAGCTAAAACTGTCAAGTCCTATTAACACCCTGTTAAAGTGTCAGGCGTCTTAAGCATCTTCTGTAATATTTATAATAGTAAACACTAGGGATGCACCGATACCACTTTTTCCAGTACTCGCCCGATACCGATACTTTTATTTTACATGCAGAACGTTCGTATTTAAATCGTCTTTTTGCAGTTTAATATTCACAGACACAGTCTATATATATATGTACTGACCTGTTTTTTATTTATTCATCAACAATAAGACAAATTCCATGAAATTCCATGTTATACAGTAAATTCCGTTTTTATGACTGGATTCTGCGATTCTGTCCATGTTTTCTGCATCGTGGAAATCATAGGGCCCTACTAATGTAATAACTTTTCAATCTGCTCCGTTACTGACTGTACTGACATACTATGCCAACAGCGTGTCTGCGCCGCAACAGGACGCGACAAAGCGACCATTGAAAATCATTTGAACTTTGTGTCAGCACATCATAAATAGAACGAGGCATCAGTTTACTGCATCCAGTGTAGACAACATCACATCACTCAGCATTGACTGAGTGGCCGCGATCAGCTCCGGTGGCCGTAACACGTGCCGTGATGCGCAGATCAGCTCTAGTCTCTAACGTCACTGAATCTGCTGTTAAAAATTAACCATCCATTCATCATATCATCATGCAAAACTAAGAATTTGAATCATTGTAATGTGACGATCAAATATAGGTGCGGGTGGGTGGCAGGCGGATAATTTGAAGCAGCGGAGTCAGGTGAAGTTTGAGCTCATCAGCGCATCTCTACAATATACTGACCTGGGTGGCCAGTAGCAAACAATGGAGACAAACAAAGTATGGACAATGGACAAACTAAGTAATTACACCATTCAGAAGCATTTAATCTGCATTATATGTTCTGTAAAAAATATTTTCATATCGGCGGCATATTAGCCGATACCGATATATCGGCGACAGGCTCATATCAGCCGATAATATCAGCTAAACGATATATCGGTCGGGCTCTAGTAAACACTGTTAATGTAAACATTTATACAGCATATTTCTTGCACCATATGCTCCACTTAGGAAAGGCCAGTCTGTAAATGATATGTCGTTTTTGCTTTGTTATCGACAGAACGTCTATTTGCAGCAAGAGTTTTCAGGTTTTTAAACCACCGTAGTAGAACCGATCAACCCTCTCTCGAATTAACCTCACGTATGCTATTACTTTAGACTCTGATTAAAAAGATATGGTATATATTAAGAGTGAAGCATGAGTTTCTTTTATCTGAGCCTAAAAGTCATAACTTTATTCTTCCCTGCTGCATTTTTAATGCACTTTTAATTTTAATGTTTCTGTTCCCATCACTTATTCATGAGCTTTGATTGGAGAGATGACTGTATCACAATCAGAGAACACGGTGCTGCAATTATACATTATTGTTGCCTTTGGGCTCATGCCCATTCTGATTGGCACCTGAAAGGGTAGGTGCGATCGCCCATCTCCAGCAATCCCACTCAAGATGGAGACCGTAGAGCCACAAGTCTAATGTACATGCAAACTCCTATCCACACTTGAACCCCTTAATGAGCTTATACCTGATTAGGAGTCTTATGGTCCAAAATGGATTTTGATGAGGATAGGATTTTGCATGATACCAGATATCTGTGGACTATGTAGGAGCTGTAACTTTGCCAGACATATCCCTATGTAGCCCTCCAAATCTCCCAGCTTCCTGTCTAGGGCTTCCTGTTAGGTTCAGTTAGTCCAAGAGTAGACAAGGCTCTCCTTAATCCACAGCACTGGCTTTTATTTCTCTCTTGCTGTGGTTGGCTTTGAACTTAGAGTTTATTAGGGAAGGAGAAAGAAAGAGATTTGGTGGTGGGAGTGCAGAATAAAAGAAGGTGTGAAGCCTCAAGCTTCCCTCTTTGCGCTCATTTTTGATTAGGACATTAAATCCTCCCGGAGCCATCCGCACGGGTCCAAAGAGGCATCATTAAAACGTTATGATGCTTCTCATTATTAGCCCCAAATGAGTCGCCAATGGTATTAATGTGTAACCTAGAACATGGAGCTCTGAATTCACTTTGCTGTTAAAATAGTAACGACATGAACGATCAGAAATCCAGGCTTTTTTTTTTTTAATGTATTTTTTTTAATACATGGCCCATTTGCTGTTTTTCAAGGTTTTAAGGGAGGGGTTTGCGCAAAAGTCCTTTTGTAAAGCTTGTTTTAATCTTAGCATATCTTTAGGCCTTCATGCATAACACATCTCATTTTGGCCCAGTGTTTGCATGGTGGAATCTCAATTTTAGAAACCTGAGGGAATAAATCATTACTACCAGTTAAAAGCCTGGAATTGGTGCTGAGGGATCAGTGATGCCCAGCCAATCAGATGGGTAGATTCCTCACAGCCAATCAAAAGACTAGGGGTTAACTCCTTTGCAGCCAATCAAAAGGCTGCATTTAGTTCTGAGGGACTGACTCCCTCGGACCAAATCCAGCCTTTTGATTGGCTGCAAAGGATTGGTTCCTCATGGCCAATCAAAAGGCTGTTTTTAGTGCTGAGGGCTCAACCTCTCAGCCAGTCAAAAGAATTGGTGCAAGCAACTCACAGCCAATCAAAAGTCTGGTTGAGGAGTCAATATTAGCACCATATCCAGCCTTTTCAATCGACTACTGTGCAACCAATTAAAAAGCTGTATTTGGTCCTTAGGGATTGACCTCTTAGCAAATTAAAAGGTTGAATTTGGTGCTAATCAAATGGCTCAATTTAGTCCTGAGGGACTGCCTCCTCAGAAACAAATCCAGCGTTTTGATTGCACGTAAAGTTTCTGTTCCTCACACCCAATAAGAAGACTGGATTTGGTGCCAAAGGATCGACTTCTTAGCCAATTATATAGCTGGATTTGGTGCTAAGGATAAGTTTCTCAAAGCCAATGGAAAGACTGGTTTAGGCATCAATCCTTAGCACCATATTTGGCCTTTTAATTGGCCGAGATGTTGAGCCTTCGGCACTAAATACAGCCTTTTGATTGGTTAAGGGGCTAATCTTCAGCACAAAATCCTGCCTTTCCAATCGACTCCAGTGCAGCCAATTAAAAAGCTGGATTTGATGCCGAGTTGGTGGGAAGGCTTGCAAGGCTCAGAGCTGCATGTCGGAGTTGGCGGCCATGTAGCTGGAGATCAGTGAAGAGTGAAGAGCAGGGGCTCAGCCTGTCTGTCTTTCTGTCTGTCTCGCTCTCTCCTAGTTACTAAATACAGCCTGGGCCTCATCATATCCAATAGCATTTCGCACCATCTCACAGATATGAATGTGATGCATGAACCATCCAATGCATTTGCAAGTCCGGGGTACAGTGTATTACCTCAGTCACTCAGGAGCCTAATTGAGCATGCCTTGCCTTATGCCCTATCAGGCTGAGCTGCTTCATTAGACCAGGCAGAGTCCAGGCCGAGTTCCTCTCTGGTGCCTCATTATACGACAAGACCTGTCTAAGAACCAGTGCCTGGGAGGAAGGTCTCACTACGGTGGTTAACTCTGGAGGTGTCACCACCTCCCGGTTTCTTACGCTCTTTCTGTTTCTCGCCCTCTGCAGCCAGCACAATGAGCTCGAGCAAGCACAGCGAGCTGCACTTGTTTCCATCCACGCGCCGCTTCCTGGAGGAGGGTGAGTCATATCTGGCCCTGGCGGTGGAAACGGCCCTGATGGGACTGGGTCAGCAGAGAATCATGCCCGACGGACTGTACGCCCAAGAGAAGGTGTGCCGCAACGAGGAGCACCTGATCGCCAAGCTGCAGGAAGTTGACCTGGACGACACCCTGGTCAAGATCTTCCGCAAGCAAGCTGTCTTCCTGTTAGAGGGTAAGTCTTGGTGATTTACAGTGCGAGGGAATGACGGCAATGCTGTTTGTTTTTCATTAACTGAGGCTGAAAGCAATAGCCTGGGGAAGCAATTTGGACATAGCTAACAATTCTGGAATGGGTGCATCTGATTTCCTCATGCATCAGCTTAATATCTAGCCAAATAGTTTGTGAAGCGTGTCTTTAAAAATCTGCTCTAGAATAGCACATACTACAGTGGGTACGGAAAGTATTCAGACCCCCTTCAATTTTTCACTCTTTGTTATATTGCAGCCATTT